CTCTGCCGTTATATTGATTGGTGGAGCATATGTGTCGACCTCATGCGGGTGGTAGTTGGAGGAAGAATCTGAGGAAGCTCTCAAGGCTGCGGCCGAAAGCCGTGTAACGTTCGAACCCGTTCCCTTGGGTTGAGCGGTATACTCATGACACGCTCTGCGGCCAATTGGCCGTGCTGACCATGCAATTGGTGGTGATGCCTTACACTCACATCACGTCTGCAGAAACGGCTGTCTGACAGGTGGTGGCTCTCTCTAAGGGCTTTTAATAGCCAGTGTGCATATTATTCAACGTGTTGCCTAAACCGTGTGACGTATATACACTGCGGCTGGATTTGATCGTACTATGTATGGCGTTTACACACATTAGCATGCGCGACTTCGGTTAATGTTTGTGCTTACGCATTACTAAGGAGCCAAGTCCTCTTTTACTTGTTCGCCAGTTATTTTACTGTAGACTACGGGCCAGTTCCCAACATACTTCCCCTTCGAATGTGTGCGTTGGTTGGTTGGCGCTAACCGCACACGGTGTGTTTGGAGCCGTGTTCCTCGCCCACATTTTTTTAAATGTGGTAAAGCGAAGCTCTTGTCTCTGGTATTTTATATTAATGTTACGCGCCATTATTAATGTCTTGTACATGGCAACACTAGTAACACTAGCGCCCTCTAGTGTCGAGTAAAAGAAAGTGTTGCGCGCCACTATTAATGTCTTGTACATGGCAACACTAGTTACACTAGCGCCCTCTAGTGTCGACTAGCAGAACTAGGAGAGTCGAGATCTTTCCAGAAATTTCGGGACCGATATGTACTCGAACATTCTAGATGTCGCTACAGTGGAAGGTTCTGGAAACTGTCTGAGGCCCTATATAAGGCCGGTATGGACCACGACCAAGGCAGTATTGAATTGGTGATACAAAAGAATACTTCGAAGCGAAATAACGGCGAACTGTGTTTTATTATTAGTGTGATTTTAAGTTATAATTAGTGTTGTGTAATTAAATAGTCAATTTTGGTAATTCACTCGGCAGTTTTTAATTATCTCGAACCCCAAGCTCGTAACAATTGGTGTCAGAAGTGGGATCAAATCATGCCGATTTTACCAAAGGACGACATGGAGGGTATCCGTACCCGAAGTCAACGCCAGCTGGAGACGGACCAGAGACGATTTAGTAATGCATCGCCGCAAACGTCGGAGGGCCAGCTGCGGACCGAGAAGGCCGGGCCGTCAGCAGCTCCTGTATCTGCAGCACCTGACTTAGGTGTTCTGATGATGATGCTGCAGGAGCAAGCCCGCTGACAAGAGGAACAGGCCCCCGTCGGTTGGAAGAGCAGTTGCAGCGTGGACAGGAGGAACAGGGCCGCCGGTTGGAAGAGCAGCTCAAACGTGATAAGGAAGAGCAGATACTTCTCATGAAGGACCTTCACGCTACCTTTGGGAAAGAGATAAGGGAGGTGAGGGATAAGGTTGCACGATATGACAACCGCCTGTCCGAAGTTGAAACTCGAATCGACCAAGTGTACAATCGGGTTGACAACGTGATGGCTGACGTTAAGAAAACGCTGAACAACCTCAAACTTGGGGAAGGAGTTACAGTTCCCGTGGTAGCTACAACACCTTCGCTACGTGGATTCAAAGTGCCGCCGTTCGACGGGAGTTCTTCCTGGTCGGCCTACAAAATCCAGTTCGAGGCTGTCATGAAAGCGAGCGGCTGGAATAAATGTCAGGCCATTACTGCTCTCACCCTAGGCCTACGCGACCAGGCCTTAACTGTTCTGGAAGCTCTCGGTAAGGAAGTGACTTACGAGCAGCTCCTTGAGGCATTGGAGGCGAGATATGGCGATGCTCACCTGGAACACGTCTTTCGTGCGCAGCTCAAAGATTGCGTGCAACGCAGTAACGAAAACCTGCAGCAGTGGGCCCTTGAGGTGGAGAAGCTGGTTCGAAAAGCGTACCAGTCTGTACCTGCGCTCATTGTAGGGAACCTGGTGCAGACATTAATCGACGGCATCCGCGACCTTGAAGTCAGAGCTGCTGTGAGGCTCGGGCACCACGAGACGCTTAAGGACGCCTTGACCCATGCACTGGAGGTGGAAGCCGTGCGGCAGGATCATCGTTCCCACCGCGTCAGGAAGGTTGCAGCAGCTACAGTTCAGGATCGCAATAAGGGCTACAGCCCTAGGTGCTACGGCTGTGGGGAAAGGGGCCATCTCCGATCCAGCTGCCCTAAACGAACTGTAGAAAGGGAAGGTGATCGATATCGAGAGGGTAGTGTGGCTGACAGCACCGCCCAGCAGCAGCAGGGAAACTGGCGGGTGCTGGCTGATGTTAAAAGAGCCCCAAGGATTTCGATCTCACAAACCCATGATGGGAACAGCCTAATCATCAAGGGCGAAGTCAACGGAACGCCGTGTAAACTTACCATAGACACTGGAGCCTCTCGCACGGTTGTCAGTTCCCAACTTATAAGTCGGTTCTTTGGGGACTCCGCATACAACCGAGAACGCATTAATTTGGTGACGGCCACCGGTCAGCGCATACCCGTCCGTGGAGAGAAGGAGATGGAGTTGAAGCTAGGAAACATGATCTACCTGCATAATGTCATCGTGGCTGATATAATGGACGACTGCATCCTGGGCCTAGACTTTATGAGGAAGAATTGTTGTGAGATCGACGTTAAGCAAGGTGTTTTGAAATGTGGACAAGAGGAACTTTTCGTGGAAGGGGCGTTACCAGGGAATGTGTACAGCCTTAAGAAGATTGTTCTTCCGCCGAGATCGGAAACGATTGTGCCGGTTAGACTTCCACGGATACCTGGGCAAACTCTTCGTTGTGTACTCGTGGAAAGGGTAGACAATGACCTTCCATGGAAAAAGCCTCGAACCTTGGTCAGAACCGCCGACATCTCAGGAGTACGTGTGCTGAACCTTTGTAATCAGGAACAGATTATAGAAAAAGGCACATTGGTTGGTACTAGTGAGGAAGTGGATTGGTTGCGTCGGTGCGAATATCTATCGACTGGGACCCCCAGCAAGGATGGACAAACTAGAGTGACCACACTTTTAGAAGACTGTCGCAGCGTTCTCTCCCCGAATGAAACGGTCAAAGCGAAGAAGTTGTTACTCAAGTACGCCAATGTTTTCTCGTCAAACGAAGCTGACATAGGAAAGACTGGCTTAGTTCAACACAAAATAAACACAGGACAAGAATTGCCTATTCGTCAGCGGCCAAGAAGATTGCCTGTAGCACGTGAAAAGGAAGTGGAAACCATGATTGAGAGAATGGTGAAGGATGGTGTTATTGAACCTTCATCTAGTCCATGGTGTTCACCTGTGGTGCTGGTAAAGAAGAAGGACGGCAGCATGCGGTTTTGTGTTGACTACGGCCGCCTGGACGACGTTACAAAGAAGGACAGCTATCCCTTGCCAAGAATTGATGACACGCTGGACATGCTTACAGGCGTAAGGTGGTTTAGTACGCTGGATCTGAAAAGTGGCTACTGGCAGGTTGAAATTGACCCTAAGGACAAGGAGAAAACTGCATTCTCCACAGGAAAGGGCCTGTGGCAATTTAAAGTCATGCCGTTTGGATTGTGCAATGCTCCAGCAACGTTTGAAAGGTTGATGGAGCTTGTACTTACCGGGCTAATTGGAGATGCCTGTCTCGTCTATTTGGATGACATCATCATCGTAGGCCGTACGTTTGAGGAACACCTTCAAAACCTGGAACGCGTGCTCATGAAGATCCAGAGTGCCAACCTCAAGTTGAGTCCAAAGAAGTGCTCACTATTCAAACGGCAAGTTAGTTTTTTGGGGTATGTAGTGTCGGAAGAAGGTATCCGCACGGATCCAGAGAAAATTGCTGCTGTTTAGGAGTGGCCGGTCCCAAAAGACAAGACACAGGTTAGAGCATTTTTGGGTTTGTGCTCTTATTATCGGCGATTTGTGAAGAACTTTGCAGATATAGCCAAACCTCTGCACAAGCTAACCGAGGAGAAGCGACAATTCTGCTGGGATGAAAGTTGCGATATTGCATTCCAGGAGCTCAAGAACCGTCTGTGCAAAACACCTATTTTGGGGTACCCTGATGCGGGCAAGGAATTCATAGTTGACACAGACGCAAGTGATATAGGACTTGGCGGTGTGTTGTCTCAACGGAATGGTGATCAAGAGATTGTGATAGCGTACTTCAGCAAATCGTTGTCAAAGCCGGAAAGGAACTATTGTGTCACAAGACGGGAATTGCTTGCTGTGGTAAAGTCCTTGCAGCATTTTAGCAAATATCTTCTAGGGCGGAAATTCCACTTACGAACTGACCATGCTGCACTGAAATGGCTATTGCTGTTCAAAAATCCGGAAGGACAAGTTGCGACATGGATTGAACTACTGCAGGAATACGACTTTGTGATCGAACATCGCAGCGGGAAATCTCATGGCAATGCAGATGCATTGTCAAGAAGACCTTGCCCTGAAGATTGCAAGCATTGTACTAGGCAAGAGGGTAAGGAAGTGGTATCTGTGAGAATGCTCAGGACAGACCAGCTCAGCAATGAGTGGAAGTACAGCCTACAACATCCACAGCAGGAAGATTCGGACATTAAGCCGATTCTGGAATGGATGAAGGCCAGTGCTCTTAAGCCCAAGTGGAGCGACGTCTCAGCAATGAGTTCGACCACGAAAAGCTTTTGGGCCCAATGGGACAGCTTGCTGATTCAGGATGGAGTCCTGTGCCGTAAATGGGAAAATGGTCGGGGAGACAGGTGTCATTTGCAAATGGTTGTCCCTAAGGCTAAAGTGCCGGATATTCTACAGCTGTACCATAGTGGTTGTTCATGAGGCCACCTAGGAGTTAAACGAACTCTCCTGAAGATCCGAGAACGGTTTTACTGGGTCCACTGTCGTGACGATGTCAAGGACTGGTGCCGCAAATGTACAAGTTGTGCGGCTGTAAAGGGACCTCAAATTCGTAGTAGAGGCGCATTGAAATTGTACAATGTTGGTGCACCATGGTAGAGGATAGACGTTGCGGGTCGTTTCCAGAAACTGAAAGTGGTAACAAGTATTTCATGGTTGTGATGGATTACTTCACTAAGTGGCCAGAAGTCTTCGCCATTCCAAATCAAGAAGCTTCAACCGTTGCAGATAAACTAGTTCATGAAGTCTTCTGTCGTTTTGGAGTACCTTTAGAGATTTACAGCGATCAAGGAAGGAATTTTGAGTCTCAAATATTCCAGGAAACTTGCCGAGTTATGGGTACTCAGAAAACACGAACAACTTCTTACCACCCACAATCTGATGGAATGGTAGAAAGATTTAATCAGACATTGGAGAGGTACCTAGCAAAAGTTGTGGAAAAACGGCAACGAGACTGGGACAGGCACATACAACCGTTTTTGTTGTCATATCGAAGCGCTGTTCACGAAAGTACATCAGTGACACCAGCTTTCGTAAACTTTGGGAGAGAATTGCGGCTGCCTGCAGACCTGATCACCGGAATACCACCTGATGCCCCACGCAGTATAAACGATTATGCAAATGACTTGCGGAACAAAATGAATGACATTTATGAGCACGTCAGATAGACGGGCCAGCAAACGTCTGAGAAGATGAAAACACGGTATGACCGCAAAATGAACAACAAGGGGTTTGATGAAGGTTCACTAGTGTGGTTACACAATCCAGTTCGCAGCAAAGGGAAATCTCCTAAGCTTCAAGCTAAATGGGACGGACCGTACCGGATTGTGACAAGGATCAATGACGTAACCTACCGGATACAGAAAGGTGTCAGAGGTACTCCTAAGATTGTCCATGTGGATCGAGTGGCGCGTTATTATGGGGCCAATAATGCTCGGGACGAGTATGTCTTAGGAGGGGGCAGTGTTACGCGCCACTATTAATGTCTTGTACATTGCAACACTAGTTACACTAGCGCCCTCTAATGTCGAGTAGCAGAACTAGGAGAGTCGAGATCCTTCCAGAAATTTCGGAACCGATATGTACTCGAACATTCTAGATGTCGCTACAGTGGAAGGTTCTGGAAACTATCTGAGGCCCTATATAAGGCCGGTATGGACCACGACCAAGGCAGTATTGAATTGGCGATACAAGAGAATACTTCGAAGCGAAATAACGGCGAACTGTGTTTTATTATTAGTGTGATTTTAAGTTATAATTAGTGTTGTGTAATTAAATAGTCAATTTTGGTAATTCACTCGGCAGTTTTTAATTATCTCGAACCCCAAGCTCGTAACATTAATATTGTGTCTTTTCTAAGCGGGATGGGATTTATTAATAAGGAATTGAATGATGTGAACCTGATACAAGTGAAATGGGGACGATTTAATATTCTTAACTTTTTGAGCCCTGACTTCGTGAACGGGGTTCTCTAGATTAAAAGCGTTATCAGGCACTACCAATGGCTTTCGACTGCTCTGGTAAGTAAATATTCATTCCTCCAAGAATCACCTAAAAGAACTAAGCTACTATTGAAAAACAACGTAAATAAGAGTTCTAATTAAAACGATCACGACATAAATATATTAAACGGCCTATAACTAAACCTTTAGAAAGATCCTTGAGACAGATCAATATAGTTATCATAACGGTCACGTAAGTTTTACATATTTTATAGATAAGGTAGAGGGGGAGGGGGGGGGACTGAGCGTTACATTAATATTAGCTAATTAAGCTGTATGCTCGTTTACTTCGTTTTTTTATCGAAATAAATAATAAAAAGCATGATGTGTCAAATACCAAATGTTATGAATTCTAATATTTTAACTATAGCGGCCCCAATACAAATCACTCGTACTAACAGCCTCCTATAAATTGCAGTAACCTGGCACTTTAGGAGAGTAATTGTCTGGAACCTCCGGCCGTGTACACAGTTGAGACATTATTAATCTTCTTATCGACATGCTTCTAGTTGTTGTTGCTCGTGCGGGCGAGCAAATGTACGCTGTATCTGCATTTGTATTAATCGCTCAATACAGACCTTACCTGTAATATTGACAAGCCTTTGCTACATGAATGTGTTTCGTGTGGTGAGTGTTCTTCTTTTTACTAAAAGTGAGACATTCCATTTTAGTCCTCATGCGTGACAAATCACCTGCATTGTAATCCTTAATCGAGGACAGATGTAGGTGTCTTTGGTCCGCAGTATCGAGTTACCATCAGGCAGACTGTGAACTCGTTTGTACGTCTTATACTATATAAAAACAACATTTTATTAATGTATTAAATACAATTATAGACAAATATTTCCAAAGCTTTGAGCTTTGCAATTAAATATTTAAAGAGATTAAGTAATATGACTGCATAAATAACCTATGTCCCGTTCTTCTAACCAAATTCTTTAATTTATAGAACAAAATCTACTAACGTAATTGGCTGGCGAGCCATTTTTCGTACCAGAGACTATACCATAAATAATAATTTTGGCAGAGCGGACTCGTAAATTTCCACAATAAGTTCAGCTTACTATACAACTCCCGGGAGATATTACGAGGAAGTATTACTTGCAGATTACCGCGTAATACCATACGACTCCATTAAATTAAAAACAGAGCGAGGCAATAATATTATGAACATCAAATTTTCATTTTATTTAAGTCCTCACGTTTATCACATTTTCAATTAAAATTATGCATTCATACCATATTCAATCTTTTTCATATAACAATTAATGAAAATGAAATAATATTTACTAATTTAGATTTTTAAATAAGAAATCTATAATTAATCACTATTTAAATGAAACAAATTTTTACGGATTCTATCGCGTTTAATTTAACTATTTCATTTCAGATGTTTCGGCTGGGACTGTGGTGTTTGACGACCCGATATCATAGTTAGCCCGGATACCTTCAGTTTTTGAATATTAATTTTTGGTCCGATCCACGCAGAATGAGCTTACAGCATCTTGAAGTCTTGCAGTGGTTTGCTTGGGTTTGGATTTAATTTTATTAATTGTAGGATCCCAAGCAGATGGCCGCACCATCTATCTTCTCTATTGAAATTAGGGTGTTCTTTTAATTTCAATAGCCTCGCAAAATATCCTTGGTAGGAAGCGGTGTTCTTTTGCGAGGTTTTTGTGGTCTATCAAATTTAATTTAATGGCGGGAACGATCTTGAACATGTTCACAGACTGCAGACTTCCCGGAACGTCGGTGCTTCAAGTCAGCTACAGCTGAGCTGCTGATGAGCTGGTCCACTGCCTCATTGCCAAAGAGAGCTTCGCTGACAAAGAGCACCAGATCTGGTTCGTTGACAGTGATCAGTTTGGTTGTAGTTTGGTTGGTACCAAGGCCCTCATTAGAGGCTCGTTATCTTGCAATCAGCCAGCTGTGTCCACTAGCACGACATCGATCTTGGAGTCTGCAGCGTAGCGGATTGCTTCCATCGCTATTCCCGCTGCTGAGTGTTTATGCACGCAAAATCCTCGTCAAAGAACACCGATTTCTACCAAGGATGATTCGAGATAGGAGGTCAGTGGTCAGAGACATCGCCATCATATTAAATTTAATAGCTATTTTAGCGTCTGAGGTGTTATGAAACTGTATTTAATTATTTCGGCGAAGTTAAACTTTAGACAGTTTGTATCAAGGGATTAAACCAAGTTATGCAGAGGCTCTTAAGTTACTAAGGTCGTGTTATTACCTGCGTAATACACGCTGTTGACAATAAGTTATTTGGAATAAAGATGCTACACTGAACTTAGTGTATAAACAACACAAGGTAATCTCTTGTCGGTGGGTCTGGTTTAAGCTCGCGAACAAATTTCTGAAACCAAAATCTGAGTCACATTTTTATTTTCGTCGTCGACTGGGCTAAGGCCCATCAATAACCCAACTCGATGGGCAACCAGAGGGTTCGGGCCCAATTGGCCTATGGATAATAATTATATAATGGCTGATAAGCAAACACAAACTTACCCGAGTTCCGGAGGTAGGTTCGAACACAAGGCAAAGTCAGGTGGTAAGTAAGTGGATGTAAAGTGGTGAGTGAAAGTGTGTAAAATGTAACCTGACGTCACCGATGTAATCGGACAGCAGACCCACAGGCGCTGCTTTTCTCCACAATGTGCGATCCCTCCAGTTGGCGTTCACCAATTGAGACTTTCTGCTTTTATTTCACTATATTAGTTTATCAACTTTATTGTTTGATTGGGGGCCGACTAAATCTAGTCCTGTTCAATCCCCAGAAAACACAAGTTTGCGCGTTTACCGCTAGAAAGAACCCCTTTGTCGTATCTCCTCAGTTTCAAGGCACTCCCCTTACTGCCTCAGCCAGTATCGGAATCCTTGGCGTCGACATAGCGAATAGCGTGCAGTTTTGTGGTCACTTGGAAGGGAAGGCCAAATTGGCCTCTAAAAAGCTTGGCGTGCTCAACAGAGCAAAACAGTATTTCAGCCGGCACATCGCTTGCAATTTTTTTTTCTCATATTAATTATTACGTATATTTTCTTTTAATAATATATATTTAGTTGGGTTAGATTATGATAGTTGTTAAATTAAGTTGTAATTTTGATTGAAAGACTAATTATTAGTTTGATTAAATCTCTTTTGTTGTTTAAATTGATAAGGTTTTACAGGCTTTTACCAAAATTACTATTGTGTTTTTTTTTTGTTTGTTTCTGGTTTTGTTTTTTTTTCTGTTATTAACTTACTTTTAAATTTATTCACTAACACTAGCAAAAATAGCATGTAGTGTTTACCTTTAAATGATTTTACATACTCTGTGCATGTAATATAGTAATTATACTTTAAGAAATGTATGTAACGTATGTATTGTAAAATCGCTGGTAGACCCAATAACTAAATAAATAAATAAATAAATTTACAAAGCGCAAGTTCGGCCCCACATGGAATAATGTTCTCATCTCTGGGCCGGGGCACCCCAGTGCTAGCTCCTTCCACTTGACCGCATCCAGCGCAGAGCGATTCGAATCTTCGAAGAATTCTTTCGAAGATTCTAGTTCTTTCTCATCGGCTCGATACACTGGCACTGCGTAGAGATGTTGCATCTCTTTGCGTATTTTATCGCATCTATCACGGGGAGTGCCCTGAGGAATTGTTCGGACTAATTCCAGCCGCTCCATTTCACCATCGCACATCGCGATAAAACTCGCGTTACCATCCATACCATCTGGATGATTGGCGGTCCACCACTGTACGATTTAGAAGAAGTTTTCTCCCTCGCACAACTTCTTTGTTGAATCAATTACTACCAGCGAATTTTCCGGACCGATACGACTTAGGAACCTTCAAGAAAAGAGCTTACACCTTTCTAAAAGGCTGGCAACGCATCTGCAATTCCCCTTGTGTTGCGGTTGTTCATGGGTGGCGGTAGTCACTTACCATCAGGTGAGCCGCATGCTCTTCCGGATCGATGGTACAAATGGGCGTGCCTCAAGGCTCAATTCTCGGCCCCTTTCTGTTTCTTGTATACATTAATGACTTACCTTACATAGTAGGGGATAACCATGATATAGTATTATTTGCAGATGACACTTCTTTAATTTTCAAATTAAGTCGACAATTACTAAAATATGACGAAGTAAATAATGCTATATCTAAATTA